GTCGTGTAGAATATTAGAGTATTGTATTTGAACAGCACCAGATCTAGTCACAGCTCATGGAGTTAGACGTGTTTACTAGTGAAAATTCCCAACGACTATTAGGAAATAAACCATGTATCTGTTTCATTTTCTTTTTAATTATCAAAGTGATTACAAAAAAAGGTCATCGCCTCTGTTTGAAAACGGGTTTTCCCAACATTCCTGTTATTAGAAGTGAACACCACACCTGTCGTCCCAGTGTTACCAGGGTAGACGGTTGTACCTGACAAGGTGAGTGATTTCATGCTTTGAAATGTTGAAATGAAGAACGGATTTTCATCCTTAAGTTATTATAGCGAGGCAAAATGATTATTTATCTCTTTCTTCTCGCTATTTCCTATCTGTTTTGAGTAGTCTTATTGTATTTGTTGGCGAAAGCTATCGACATAGTGTCACGTGATAAACAACCTTGATATTTTAGCTTTTATCAAACATTTATCCAAATACATTTTGCGAGACTCAGCAGACGATATGTGTGCACTCGATTATTGCTAATAAGTGAAAGTTTAAAAAAGGTTTTTTTTTACATCTATTGCTTGCAAGTACATATCATCGTATGTTTAGGGGAATTCCCTTTTTTGTTGATCCCTATTGACGTCATAGTATTGTGAGGCAGTAAATAGAAATATTTCCCACCACCTGCGCTGAATAGTTCGATAAATCAACGGGAATACAGGTCTGTGGAGTAAAAAAATGAAACTCCCAGTTCAATTTTTTTTTCTTTAAAAAGAACGATATGTGCACATTGCCTCTTTGAATCTATAATAAGTCAATCACAAGCTAAGCACATTGGCTAAGCACTTCCTCTGCTAAGCGCGTGAGGCTGCTAGACTCAAGGAGCTGCTATACTGGTAGGTGTGGAACTGTTAAGGTAGATCGGTCGTTACATGTTTTAATTTTCTTTTTTTTTTGTTTGAAATGACACCCAAGTACATTAAAATTTTGAAAAAAAAGTTGGGGGGTCACCGACCAAATAGGAGAACTACGCCCTAATATGTTACACCCTGCATATCGCACTAGTCCCCATTCAAATCAATGGAAATGGGTGTTTTTTCACCAAAGCATTATTTTTTATGATTTTTTAACGTTCGATTTTTATTTTTATTTTTTTTATGTAAAGAGGCATCCAAGTACATTTAAATTTTGCAAAAAAAAAAAAAATTTTGGGGTCATCGACCAAATAAGAGAACTACGCCAAGTTGAAGTGCATTACACCCTGCGTGACGCACTAGTCCCCCTTCAAATCAATGGGAAAATTGGCGTTTATTCACCAAACAGTTATTTTTTATGATTTTCCAACGTTTGAATTTTTATTTTTGGTTTGTGTGGAGAGACATCCAAGTACATTTAAAACTTTCATTATGTTTTTAAAACAGTTGAAGTGAGTATACTAGTTACATGTATTTTCAGATTTGTCATACTGAATCGAAGGTGTAAGTCATTAACTTCACAACAGATTTATTGTCATGCATGTGAAAATAGTTTATTGCCGTTGTTATTTATTTATGTAATGAATATAATAGGAATATGACTTTTTGCCTCCCCCCCCCCCTTAAAAATGGAAATCAGCACACAGAAAAATCTCATTATTGAGATGTGCAATATTCGTGCGATTCCAGCGGTATCCCACGAATATTCGTAACACTATCGCACCTGTATCGTAACTGAACCGTAGAGCGTGTCAAATTAGACCAGAAAATTGGCAAAATCTCACGGATCTTCAAGAATCCTGAAATGTGTCAATTCCTGGCGATTCGTGGGATCCGTGGTCGGTGTGAAATAGGGACATTACCAAACGGCAGCGTTCAGTACTTTTTTTTGGAACCTCACGCCTAAGGGTAGGGGGGGGGGGTCAGCTTCGCATCCGCGGACAGACCCCCCACCCCACCCCACCCATCAACTAATCCTGGATCCGCCCCTGGATGAAAGATTGCAAGGGAGCATTACCCATAAAATCCATTCAGCGCACAAACTCTAGTGTAAAACTGTAAAACCCACGTTTCATGCGCAAGATGAAAAAAATAATGCCACATATGTCATAAAGCGATCCTTTTCTGGTGAAATCTTCTTACAGAGCCGTCTTTCTACTACTCCATCCGACCATGGATTTCATTCTCGCTGTGTGTCGTGGTGATACTGGCGGTGTGAAGCGACTGCCGCCTGATGGGAGATACTGGGTGGTACGTACTGTTTCTGTATTTCACTACATTGTAGATTATGTCTGTCGATCATAAGGATGCATTCATAAATACATCTTTGCTATAAAAAACATATTCAGGTTCTATAAATAACTATATGTTCTACCTCTAGACTTCATTGTCGATTCTTTTCACAAGACACGCAATAGATCATTTTTATAATGGGGCCTGGCTTCCTGGCTCACATTTAAAATAGGTTGGAGACCATACATAGATTTGATTTTAGGGTGAAGATCTTTCACAGTTTTCCATTGTAGTAGCTTCACATAGTCTAGATGTTCCTTATTATTATTATTATTATTATTATTATTATTATTATTTGATAGCATTTCCATCAAATGTACTTTGCCGGTGTCCTAGTTTCGTATAGGAAATCTGGCATGCGTCGGGGCAGTGGGATCATCAATATTTCCGTTTTGCTGTCTTTACATGTATCATTAATTTGTTCTTTTCAATCCAAACCCTGCGGTTAGAAATACTGCTTTTCATTTTCATTAAAGAAATTTCACGATTCTTGATGTCACAGGGAGTATACAGCTGAGTACCGCCAGCGTATATATGTGAAAGTGAATTCTGTGTAATCAATGACCATCAGATATCTGGTGGAGCATAAACATCGTGGTCTTTCCCGAAATATGCTGTCAATGAAACTAATAGCAACAGCATTTATCCATTTTGTGCATCCTTTTGTCGTGCTGTTCCTTATATTCTTCTCCCTACGCAGGACACAAACCTCATCCTTCAGAAAGCAATTTTTACTAGCCCAGGCAATCCACTCCGACACCTGAGACGTATGCATTCTTGTACAGTTGGAATTTCAAACAATTCCACACCTTTAGCAACGCTTGTTATACATGTGTCTAGTAGGATCCATTGTAACATGAGAGGGAGTCCTCCATAATAGAGTCTGCTTCGATATGCCATTCGTCTGTACATGTACATGTAAGCCTTAACCTAGGATGTGACCCACTCAGGGTTAATTTAACCCTAGCCGTCATAACTAAATAGAGGGCGGGATTTCTGTTTCACGGACCCTCAGTTTCGTTGCACTGTCCCAGTTAATCTTCCAGATTATCTAAAGCATTTTCATATAATGTAAGCAATGGTGATCGTATTATCATTGTTTTTCACCCAAGTATAGTTTGTTTTCATGTAGAAAGATATATCATTCTGTATGGTGGTTTATGCTCGATCATTCTCAGCAAGGTCATTTTGGCATCTGATTATAATTTCTTCTTCTTTTTTCTTTCTTTTTTATTATTTCATTTTGTGTTTTATTCTTTCCTTTGAGGTCTCGGTGACAACCGGGCGCACGGGTTTCAGGGTCGAACCTTCTCTGCGAGTTGTGGGTGCAGTGGAGGGCGTGGAAGGCGGGTGACGCACTCCCGCACTGCTTTTGATTAAGCTACTCTTAAAACCGGTCGTGCGCGCTTCTACGAGCGGTGTGCGTGCAAAAAAAAATTGGCCAAGTAGTAAGATACACGCACCTGGAACGTACTCTTTTTGGTGAACGTAAACACGACGCAAAGCACGCAGCCCGAAAACTGGCCGGCCAGTTTTTCGCTAGGACCTGTCTGCGACAATTAGAACACCTATAGCATGCTCGCAGCACGCAAGACAGAGTACTGAGTAATACAGAAATTCCGGGATATTTTACCACGAAGCCGATGTACTAACCACGCAAGAGACTCGTACGTTCAACTTGCTTTCAATGCACGTGTTAACAAAAAAAAGGGGGGGGTGAGTGCGCTTCCTCCGTGCGTTTATCTTACTTCCAAGGTGTGTTTTGAGTACTACTACCGTACTTGTGAAGTGCATCACACTAAGACGACGCACTTGACCAGCACGATATAAGTGCCTTACAAGTACTTGCTTATAGGTGCATCGTGCGCCTCTCTCCCCGCTGATACGAAGTCTGCTCTCAGTTTGGAAGTGCCATTTTGAAAGCCAAAACAGTGAATGATAAGGGGCTCGGTGCTCCCTTTTATATTATTTTGATTATCCGTGTGTTCCACCAATTTGACGCACGAGTGTCGTGTTTAACACTTAATGTGCTCATTACGTTTCTCTAACTTCGTAAGTACGATTTCTGAAAACGTACGCTTCACTTGCAATACACGTATGATTATCTCACTCACTGTGTGCGACACAAGCACAGATCGTACGTGCTCCTTACTTCTTCCTACTTCCAAAAAAGGCGTACAGACCTCTTGCCGGCCCCACGTTTAAGCATCTACTCATAAAGTACTTACTACTTCCATCCGCTGCGATTAAAATTTCATCCTGCGACAACGCTACGCCTGGCAAGAACTCCGAGGACGCACGATCTCTAAGCACGCACGACGGGTTGTAAGAGAGACTTTAAGTTTGGAAGTTGTGAGGGCGTGCGCCGTACTTAACACGCTGGTGGCACATGCTTCTTCATTGCTTGCGACGTGCGTCTTAGTTCAAAGTTTTTCTTCACACGGTAATCCCCCAGTCTCATTTGCAGACATCTTGCAAACTTCTTGCTAGAGGAGCAGATAATCCAAATATTTTTTTCCCTTTTTTTTTTCATTTAGCCTATATGCAAACAAACCTTGTGGGCAAAGCGCACCCCTCCTTTTGACTGTTACAGAGTGTTCGTGGTAGAATTCGTGGTATTTATGTCCTAAACATTAACGAACTTTATATGTACCTACAAGTTATATCACTCTGTGAGGAACCTTGGTAGGCTACATGTATACCGCTATTCTTATTAGTAGCTATGGTCTGTTGGTAATTATGCCCAAACAAATAAAGCAAATGATGGTCAGAGAGTATTAATAACAGATGATGACCATACGCTGACCACAGAAGATGGAGACGGAATAATACTTAAATTTGCAATGATTACTAAAATTGTGAGATCATATGATAATAATCCAGTAAATAAACCTAAGTATGATATGATATTGTTTTGAATTTACCAGTGTGGACAGACTGCTCTGCACATAGCATTGCTGACAGGCAATGCAGATATGGTGAAACTACTCCTAGACAGCGGGGCTGAAGTTAATGCCGAGAACGAGGTAAGACGCTTGGGTGTGACTTAAGCCCCCATTTCCGTTCGTGCGATATTTATGTATATGTATAATTAATTATATAGATATCCATATAGTAGTTTTAGATTATGCAGTTAAATGCTACTATTTTTATTTTTTTCATAATTTTTCTTTTTTGGCTACTAGTTCTTGAGACACATATTGCAAAACATGCACAACATGCACAGGCCACATACTCGGCAAATTGTTAAACGGATGCTGTGTTAAGATTAGTATTATTTAAATAAACATTGTTTTTTAATCTCTTTTTTATTTATGACATGTATCCAGAACATTTAACCTCTGTAATGGTTTTTTTTTTTTTTTTTTTTTTTTTTTTTTTTTTTTTTTTTTTTTTTTTTTTTTTAGCGAATGAAAAATATTAAAATAAAGATCCAACAATTGAAAAGATATAAAAAATAAAACAATAAAGGAGCTGATCCTAATATCACGTATAAGGTTTGTGGCACGTACATGTACTGTTGTATAGATAAATTACCGTGGGCTTTGTCGGCTGGTTTGATAGACATAAGGAGGGTATACATGTACTTCCACTGTTTTGTCATAAACGATCCACGAGTTTGTTTAAATGAATACTTTTTATCTGGTTATAATAAGTACATACAATATAAAGAAAGAGAACATGGGACCGGTGTTACACGTTACAGTTAGGTGCAAGTTAATCCATTTTCTTTCCTTACGTACATGTACGATATATGAATGAAATGTGAAGAAAGACAACATCGTATATTATCATTATGGTGCTTGTTTATTGTTACCAGGATGGTAGAACCCCATTATATTGGGCAGCAGAGGAAGGCCATGAGGACATCGTGAAGCTTCTCCTGGAGCATGGAACTGATCCTAATATCACCAATGAGGTTTGTGGATACATAATACTATATACACAAAATGCCCTTAGTGGATACTGGATTTTGCTGAATAGATGATTCATTATACAATGTTTAGAATAATCTATTAAATTTGTTATTTTATTTTATTATATAATTGCCTTTTAAAATAATATGAAAAGTAAGCCATTGGTCATAACTGCACTGATATATCTAACTTCCCATACATACACATTATGATTCCTTATGTAACCGTTACCAGTGGGGCAGAACACCATTATATTGGGCAGCAGAGGAAGGCCATGAGGACATCGTGAAGCTTCTCCTGGAGCATGGAACTGATCCTAATATCACCAATGAGGTTTGTGGATACATAATACTATATACACAAAATGCCCTTAGTGGATACTGGATTTTGCTGAATAGATGATTCATTATACAATGTTTAGAATAATCTATTAAATTTGTTATTTTATTTTATTATATAATTGCCTTTTAAAATAATATGAAAAGTAAGCCATTGGTCATAACTGCACTGATATATCTAACTTCCCATACATACACATTATGATTCCTTATGTAACCGTTACCACTGGGGCAGAACACCATTAGATTGGGCAGCAGAGGAAGGCCATGAGGACATCGTGAAGCTTCTCCTGGAGCATGGAGCTGATCCTAATATCACGGATAAGGTTTGTGGCACGTACATGTACTGTTGTATAGATAAACTACAGTGGGCTTTGTCGGCTGGTTTGTTTAGAATAATTTATCAAATTTGTTTATTTTATTTTATTATATAATTGCCTTTTAAAATAATATGAAAAGTAAGCTATTGGTCATAACTGCACTGATATATCTAACTTCCCATACATACACATTATGATTCCTTATGTAACCGTTACCAGAGTGGCAGAACACCATTATGTTGGGCAGCAGAGGAAGGCCATGAGGACATCGTGAAGCTTCTCCTGGAGCGTGGAGCTGATCCTAATATCACGAATAAGGTTTGTGGTCACATGATACTATATACACAAAATGCCCTTAGTTGGTTGGTAACATACATGTACACTGGATTTTGCTGAATAGATGATTCGTCATACAATGTTTAGAATAATTAATTAAATTTGTTATTTTATTTTATAATATAATTACCGTTTAAAAATAATATGAAAAGTAAGCCATTGGTCAAAACTGCACTGATATATCTAACTTCCCGTACAAACACATTATGATTCCTTATATAACCGTTACCAGTGGGGCAGAACACCATTATATTGGGCAGCATATGAAGGCCATGAGGACATCGTGAAGCTTCTCCTGGAGCATGGAGCTGATCCTAATATCACGTATAAGGTTTGTGGCACGTACATGTACTGCTGTATAGATAAACTACAGTGGATTTTGTTGGCTGGTTTGATAGACATAAGGAGGGTATACATGTACTTCCACTGTTTTGTCAATGATCGATGAGTCTGTTTAATTGTTTACTATTTATTTGGTTATAATGAGATAATAAAATGCCAAATAAGAAAGCATGGGACTGGTATTACATGTAAACAGTTAGGTACAAATTAATTAACTTTCTTGCATTAATAAGATTTATAATCTGTATTTGCACATTATGATCTTTCTTTCGTCATGTGATTATTTGTCAATTTGCCCTGTAAGCATTTGACTGTCGATACATTGGGTGCGTTTGGTTGTTTTATCTGAACGTTAGTTAATCCAACACATAAATTAAGTTCATGAATAAAATGTGAAGAAAATACAACATGAGATGATATCATTATGTCGATCATTTGTTGTTACCAGTGGGACAGAACACCTTTACATGTGGCAGCAGGGGAAGGTCATGAAGACGTCGTGAAGCTTCTCCTGGAGCATGGAGCTGATCCTAATAACACGGATAAGGTTTGTGGACACATAATACTTTATACACAAAATGCCCTTAGTTGGTTGGTAACATACATGTACACTAGATTTTGCTGAATAGATGATTCATTTAAACAATGTTTAGAATAATTACTTAAATTTATTTTTTATCATGTAATTAACATTTAAAAACAATATGAAAAGTAAGCCAAAAGTAATAACTGATATCACGAATCAGGTCTGTGGCAGTACATGTACTATTGCATAGATTAACTACCGTGGGCTTTGTCGGCTGGTTTGATATACACAAGGAGGGTATACATGTACTACCACTATTTTGTCAATGATCGATGATTCCTTTCCCAATCATTGGGTTATTTGTTTGCAGATACGTTTGTCCTTTGTAGATGTAAGCATACTGTTGTTTTCTTGCAAATGTTAATTCTACAGCACTCATGTAAAAAAAAATATGTCAAATCTCAAAATCGAAGTTATGTAAATGATGCAACTGGATATTTATTGTCTTAACTTGATATTGTAGGATAAAGAAACAGCACATGACATGGCTGTAAAAAAGAGCCATGAACACGTTAAGATAGTGCTGCATAGATATGCCTTGCCACCAATACAGGTTAGTACTGTCAAATGATGTAATAGTTCTTCATTTGTAAAGTAATCAGGAAAAAGCCATAGGCCCCCTAATGTGCTTCCTTTTTTATCTTTATTTTCCGTTTTTGTTTCCCTTTTAATTTTCTCTTTTATTATTTTTTCTATGGGTCAACATGCTCAGTCAAGCTCTAGAGCGTCAAGATCAATGTTATTTTTCCAGGCCCATCTTCTCCGCGAGATGATTATGGCGATAAGTGACCACGTGTCTCTCAAAGATGTCCGCATGCTGGCACGTGCACAGCTGGGAATCCCAGACGCCAAGCTGGACAACATAGAGTATGAGTACCAACGCGATGCTCAGGAGCAATCCTTCCAGATTTTGTGGCTGTGGAAAGTAAGGACGGCTGGAGCTACAGTCCATAACCTGTTCCAGGCTCTGAAGGACCATCAGTTGAACGCATGCCTGGGTTCGTAGTATTTAACAGTTCTGATATTTTTAATACACTTGGGCCGTTTATGTATTTATTCTACTAAATATTTTAAGAAGAAAGAGCCTGTCAGTTGGGTTGATTATACTTATCAATCGTGTTTCATTTGTTTTTATATTTCGAAAAAACCTTGATCGAAGCATTCAACAAAACTGTTTTGCTTTGTTTTAATTATAGACAAAGTCAGAAATCAATATTCCTCATTGTTGAATGAAATATGGAGCAAGCCAGAGGACGAGTTCCAAAAGTTTTCCTCCTCCCTCCAACGCACTCAGTCAAGCACAGATGACGTCACGTTGTCCAACATGACGGAGATGAACCTGAAATGCTACGTTTCCGAAGACTTGGAATCTTTGTATGTTCCACTTGAGAGCTTCAACGCCAATGCCAAGGTGGATGACAACGACAGCAACAAAGCCGTGGTCAAGTATCGCTTAGCTGGGAAGGGCGTCTGCCGGAATGCCGCTACATTCGTTAAGATGACTGAGTAAAGGGCTGTCCTTTATTGAACTTGAACTTTTAGCTGCCATTTGGAAGAACCGTTGGCAAGTTATCAGGACATACTACTTCATTAATCACACTGAAAAAGAGAATATGCTTTGAACATATAACATTTCAAAGTGGCAATCTTTTGGCATAAATTTTATACAATTGCAAGCTTAAAAAACAATGCATCTTTATTATTACCAGCGTAAGTTAAACTTTACTCGATTCCACTCAATAATCAAATTAGAGATTGATGTTCAGTTATCACCTACGCCCAGAAACTCCAGATCACTGAAAAGAAATCATCAAAATATTATTTCTGTTTACGTGATGATTATTACGGTTTATGTGAATGTAATTGTTGATTGGTTGGTAAAGTGGTTTGATTTTTATTCATATAAAATATAATGTGATATTAACATTACTTTAGATAGCTGCACATGATATGTAGAAAATATTTGAAATATGATATATATATATATATATATATATATATATAGAGAGAGAGAGAGAGAGAGAGAGAGAGAGAGAGAGAGAGAGAGAGTCTCTTTAGATACATTTTCAGGTGGTGGTTTGTATTGGTTTGTCTTTTATCGAATATAAGATGCTTGGCTATTTGAACTTGCACACATGTTAAAATATATAGGCGCCTATAGTTTTGCACTGATATAGTAGAATATACTTTTACTGAAATACGTGTATATTTGTATGGCACTTCTCTGACTTGGTTGATAAGAACTTAGCAGAAGAAACATTTTGTTTAGTATAAAATCGCCCGATATGGACAGAGGTCTAAAGTAACAACAGGACAGTAACCCAGTAACATCACATAAATAATGAGTCACTATTTAAAGCAAACTACTATGTATTTCAGGCATATGTCCTTAACATATTGGTGGAAATGCAATTTAGCAGAATACATCAACAAACGGAGAGTTTTAAAATGTATTTAACATGCACGAAAATGCAGTAGTATCGGAGTAGCAAATAAGCATTAACGCAGTAGTGGTGTGGAGCATATTTGCAGTAGAAATGCAGTATAGCCTACTGCAATTCTACTTCAAAAATTACAAAGGGTCGTTCAGAGGAGGAGCATTAATGCAGTAGATTAGTAGCATGATAGAAGCATGTTTCAAATATGCTAATTAGCTCCCACATCGAAGCAGATTTGAAGCATGTTTGCAGTATGATTGCAGTACTCTACTGCGCTGGAGTATCTACTGCGTTTTTGTGTGGGAATTAATTAATACAACAGTGTGCAGGTGTATAAAAGTATGGTCTTTTTATGCATACTTGCTTGATATGTTTGAATTGAACTGTCGCTTTGTGCAATAAATTTAAATTTTGTGATTCTACACTTTGTAGTCTGTTTTTCATTTATCGAATTAAGTTCACAGCTATTTCCATCAAAGATTCACCAAGAGAAAGAAGGTGGATAGCAAGCGTATATACTGTTATATATTTAAGGATCTTTCTGAAACAATTTAGTTGTAATTGTCAATATCGTCGTTCCTGTATATAGAAAATAAATGACAGACTCTGAAAATGATTTTTTTTTACTCTATCATTAATGAGAGAGACCTATCAAATGTATGAGGTCCAGGATTTGACATTTAGTGCAGTTGCTTAGGCAAAAAATAAATAAATAAATAAATAAAAATAAAAATAAAAATAAAAAAAATGTCCAAATCGTGACACAGCGGATAAAAGCACCAAACTTTGCATGAGGGTACCTTTTGACATATTAAATCAAATTAGAGCCGTAGCCCACGGAAAAAAATTACCGTTTGGCCAAAAAATCCAAAATGGCCGCCAATTTGTGAAATTTTGTAGAAATATATACATATCTATGTTTATTTTTATCAAATTAACTGTTTTCCACATCGTTATTACCCATATTATGCATATGTGTCAGATACCAAACTTTTAGTGTCCTTGGACTTATTGAAAAATCCAAGATGGCCGCCGTATGGCATAGGAATACTAGAACATGTACAAGGGTTTTTCAACTAACTAATGCCAACAAGGAAGATGCATTGCCAACTATCTAATTAATTTTGTTTCCTATTACACAAATAATATATTGTGGCGAGTAGCTAACCTTAATTCACAGGCAATTCGAGAAAAATCCAAGATGGCCCCCATATCAAAGGAATACTAGTATACACATAGGGCTGCATCTGCCATGGAGATATAATATTAATTGATAAATTAGGTTTGTTTCTGAGTATTTCCCACATCTTTTTAATTCACATAATATATATGTGACGAGAATGTTATGTGTATCCTTTTTGAAAACAAAACAAATATAAATGCCTGCCATATTAGCCAATAGAAGGTGGGGTTCAGTTAAAACCTGCAGGGGTAGGCTTACAAATAAAATGAAGCTGAATTCAGTTGTTATTCTGTTTTTTAGTATTATTGTCCCATGATACATATCTGTTAGGTAATTAATGTCCATATTTTATAATTTTGGGGAAATCCAAGATGGCCTTCTTTTCCCCATAGGAAAACTGGTGCATTAGATTTTATGGCACTTCTAAGGCAAATTAGGGTAATCATGATATTTTTTCAAAATGCTTAAGGGTATACACTTGTTATCCACCAGATAGATATCTAAAAGTCCAAGAAGAATGTGGGAAATACAAACAAAATTCATTTTATATTGGACCCAATGTCTCTCTGGCAGTAGTTGACTGTTCTATTCATATTGTGAATTGCAGCAATCTTGAATTTTCTCAAATACGCAAGATTGGTATTTTGAAGGATTTTTCATCTTTATTGACCAGTGTCAAATTTCATACACGTATGATATTTTAAGCATCCATGTCAATGTAGACACATAGCATTTCCTTGCAGTATTAGGGTTAACTGGTTCCTATTAGGAAAAGGAGCCACAACTAATCCTTTGCAATGTTGGCTGGTATTCTTCCATTCCATTAATCTTGTAGAAAAGAAAATGAATGTTCTTATAGCGTCTTTCATAACATCTTTGCAGAATACATCCCTAATGCTTTGAATGAATGTCTATTACTGTAATTATTTCACCACAGAACCATAAAAAAAAAGGTTTACAGAATGGATTTTTTTCTGCCCTTGTATAGAAAGAAAATATATTTAAGGGAAAGGGTACTGAAATGTAAAATAAAAACAAAATAGTTATCACCGATGGAATCACTTCATGTAATTAATATAGATGAAAAGAAAACAGAAAAGCCATCACTGGCTGTCCTAGCCATTGCTTATTCCACTGACTAAATATATTGTATCTTCCATAAAAGGAAACCTCATGTCCCTGATGTTATCTAGTTCTGGTAAAGTTAGTAATTTAAGCAAAGAATCTGGGAGCTTTAAACTTTTTATATGACTTTCAGTAACTTTCCCCTCCCCGAGAGTTCTGCGTATGGCTCGAACACAGCAGTGTAACAGAGAAGGAAAACAGGCTAAATTGTCTTGATAAAACTGGGTGATTTTTTAGTCTAAATCCACAGGAAGTTCAAGATGAGTGGCAGAGATACTGTTAACAAGGTTGTACACTGTAAAAACAGTGCTTAGCATTTAAATACATATAACATACGTTAAGTACCTATACGCATTTAGAAATATGTGTAAAAGCTAAGCACGTATAGCTTTTCAAGCGTTTCACAGAAGAAAATGCTAGACACGTTGGCAGTGTTACACGTTTAGCTATGTGCTTAGCTTCACCGGTATATGGATCTATAATAAGTCTATCACAAGCTAAGCACATTGGCTATAAGCACTTCCCCTGCTAAGCGCGTGAGGCTGCTAAACACATGGAGCTGCTATAGGTGTGGAATTCCTGGAGCTGCTGAACAATACCCTCTACCAAGGCCGCAGTTCTTGGGGACATTTTTTGCTGAGGCGACATCAGATCAAAATGACTTTCTATTTATCTAGAGACATATCTGTGAATATCTGTGAAAAATCAATCTGTCGCCCTGGTAGAGGGTAGCTGAACAACAAGTTTAGCTTTTCAAGCTTCTTTCAGAAGAAATAAAAATGTTTAACATTCTTAGAAGTGTCGCACTTTTAGCTATGTGATTAGTTTCACCGGTCCCATAAGTTTATTACAAGGCTCAACAATTTGGCTTAACACTTCCCCTTGTAAACGTGTGGAGCTGTTGAAGGCGTGGAGCAGTCTGCTTTGTGTCCTTCCTTGCAGTAACGCGTGCTTATTTAAAATAGGCCTATTAAAGATGCATACAAAGTCAATTTTTTGCTCAAAAACCAACCAAGTACCAGTATATAGTTTCAAAAAGTATCATTAAGAAAATTGCCAGAAGGCATTGATTAATATTACCCGAAAAATGATATTTGAATGGATTTTTCTGTTAGCTTATTATCCTGTATATACATGGGGCAGAAAAGTAGGTCACATAAGTAGGTTAAATTTCCGACCAAAAATTTAAAGAGCAGTCTAAAGCTCTTTTATGGCTGATCGAGTGATTTATTCAGTTTGTCCCTTTATTTGAGTCGTACAAGAATCTAGTAGAAGTGGTTTATATGTGTTACTGGCAACCCACGCTCCACCGATGCTCGGTTCATATGTACCTTTAAGTAATAATCCAAATAACAAATAACGTTTTCACGACGTTATCAGATGGTTACATGCTGGTTATGGTATAGAAGAACATTATGGTAACTCCATGCAAAATGATGTACAGTAAGGTTATAATTTGTAAAAAGATTCGAAGACCGTTTCTACAAAATTTTATGATACATGTAACGCCATTTTGTGGAGTTTTATCAGCGTGTTTATAACATTCTGGAAAAACATTATATAATGTTTTGAAAACATTTTTTTATATAAATAACCAAAACATGTCTTATGCTGTTTGAACTACAGTTAGCGGTTAATTCCAAAATTGGCTTGGGGTTAGTCGGCGACTAGAGAGGTGCGAATTGTAGAATATTCGGACTATCGGTACCGAAATAACCAGCTTGTGATGAAAGATTAAATAAAGTATTATAATAAATACCCCACCATCATCCTGATGTTCTATTGTTCATTTCTTCCGGAAAAAATAAATAGATATCAATACCGTGATTCATTTTATCAAAATATGGAGAAAGGTGTTTTAAAGTAAAAATGATAGTTGTTTCGTGCCTTTAGTGAACTAGTGAATTTTCCTATCCTGGTTTTCAGAAATACATTCCAATAAACTTCCTCGCAAGGTCAGCTAACACAAGGATGAATAAGTCCAGCCGTAAAGATGATAGTGGGAAGTCAACGATGTTGACAGTTCACGGTACCCTGTTATAGAAAGAAATAACTATAGCAGTTAAAGGTGACCGTGAGTTCGAGCACGCGCGTGTGTGTGTGTGTGTGTGTGTGCGACCAAAACAGTTGAAACCCAAAAGTTAAACAAATACACCCTACATTTATAAGCCGTCAAACGCGTCATACTGCTAAACACAAGCGTGTAACATGTTAAGGAGCTAAGCATGTTAGGGGCTAAACGCGTCGAAAAAGTGAGACAAAACAGGCGCTTAGAAATGTGTTTAGGAGCTAAACACTGTTTTTACAGTGTACTTGAGTCCCACTGAGTGCAGCATTCTCAGAGTGTCCTTAATGTCCCCTTCTGTCACAGCCAGTAACAACATGATCCGTACCAGGGAATGGAGGTCAGCTTCATACCTTATAACACGAGATGCCGCGTAAAATTTTCTCCAGATTTTTTCCACCACCATCTCTTCAAACCAGTCCCTTACTACATTCACAGCTCCAAGCTGTAATAATATCTTAATCAGATCCACAACATTTCTGTTTATTATATATCGTGATTTTCTCAACAGTTTACACCAGTCAATCTTGTAAGGTATTTCCACTCCCGCATCTATCAGTATTTTAAATAAAGTTGTTAGATTAGAGGAACTTGACTTGAGAACTATCTCCAGAGGAGTCAGGGCGGTCTTTCCTCTCTCCCCCACCCCATACGAACTGTATCTGTACTTCAGGGCGACTCTGACAGTAACTGAAAAGCCAGCAGATAATTATAATTAAGATACGACTCTACACGATATAGAACGTTACTGTCTATTGAGACATTTTGTCAGAATAGTCAGATTTAAGAGAGTTGCATATGAATGGTAAAGTCAAGGAGTGGACATAGGTTTATCATCGTTAATATAGAGAAGATTGGTCAACATGTACACATGTAGTCAATATTGTACACGAATAGATTTAACTGGATTCAAATTATTATAGTGGACGGAGTTAAATCTTCCTTGCTGAATTCATAAACCAGTAAAAATTGGCAGTCAATTCATTCATTAGAGAACTTTATCTAAGTAATAATGGAATACCGTTTACATCAATTAATAACGTCGGTGGGTCAGTTATGCATGGCTTTTTAAGCCATCGACGTATAACTTTTCGCTATGATGGCCCTTTGTTTACTTTATGTACCGGTGTCCAGCCAATTCTCCGACAGGGTCAGGTCAGGTCGGGAAAAAATCGGTTCGCACTGAGCCCGTAACGTACGTCTTAGTGCATATGCGGCACACCCTCCATGAGTCTTCCATGAAGATCAACATGCTGACGATGCAACCCCTTTACTTTTTAAGCACCTATATAGTCAAAATAAGGAAACACTCAACTCCATACCCATGCATGTGAATAAAACTACACTGAGAATATAATTGGAGTCATTTGACTCTATAGAAAGAGTCCAGCACCCCTTGACCCTCATGGAGTTAATTTGACTCATATAAAAGGGTCAACTTACCCCACTACCAGAGATTTTGACTCTCTTATCAGAGTCAATCACCCCCTAGCTCTCATGGAGTCAATCTGACTCTAAATTCAGAGTCAAATTATCGGGGGCCAGTGCCTGCCTGACCCCTTTCACCGACTCTTTTCGCTCGCTGGACAGTAAGCTTCGTTACATTACGTGTAATGGCAGTGAGCAGACGGCGTGGAGAGAACAGTTTTCATCATTCTTTGTCAGTGGTTTATGCCATGCTGCTTATTACCAGATTTACAAACTGTTTGTTATTGCTCTTTAGGCACCACTTCTGACCACATGGGCTAGTGGTTAGAGTGTTCGCCTTTGTAGCGGGAGGATGTGGGTTCGAGCCCGTTCGGGGACACAACATTTTAAAATGAACAATACTGGCTGTCTCTCCCCTTGCTACTGTTGTTGTTGTTTTTGTTCATAATGTGCCAAGGAGTCAAAAGTTCCTTTATATAGGGTCATGGTGACTCTTTTGTAGAGACAAATCAAGGGATGAAGGGATGAGTGAATGGAGTCAATTGTGACCCTCTTGTGAGGTCTGAGATAGCATTACTCTGTTGGAGTCAACTTGACTCCAATTGGGAGTTATTTTAAGCACCACTGCTGGACTCAAAGTTTGGAGTCACTTGGACTCCGATTTTATTCTCAATGTAATGTTTAGACATATTACTATTTATGTGCCTTATATAAACACCTCGGGGAAGTAAAAGGGAACTAGTGTTAAACCTTGCATTATCACGATTTAATCAAGAAAAGTGTTTCTGTTTCTTCTTTTTTAACTCGATATTAATTAATTATTTTATTTATTTTAATCGAGAAGTTGTCACTACAGCTATCGCTTGAGAGTACATTTAAACGTTTGTTTAGGGGAATCCCATTTTATGTTGTTCTTTATTGACACCATAGTAAATACTTCCCGTCACCTGTGCTGAATACTTTATACCATATAAAGTAATGTAATTATATTGTGCAGCACCAAATCTGATAACAACTCATCGGGTTACAGTCCTTATTCTAGTGAATATTTCCCACACATATAAAGAAAAACACCATGTACCTGTTAAAACTTAATGATATAAAAATAGGTCACCGCTTCTGTTTGAAAACGGGGTTTCCCAACATTCCTGTTATTAGACACAACACCTGTCGTCCCAGTATTACCAGGGCAGACATTTGTACCTGACAAGGTGAGTGGTTTCTTGCTTTGAAATGTTGAAATGAAGAAACAAGTTTCCACTTTAAGTGATTAGCGCGGCAAAATGCTAATTTATCTCCTTTGTACTCGGTATTTTATGTCCGTTTTGAGTAGTCTTGTTGTGTTTGTTGGCGAAAGCAACAGATAGTGTCAAGTGATAAACCTAGATATTTTCCTCTTTATTGAATCATTTTTCGAAATATGTTTACTATAGAGAAGTGTGATACTCAGCAGTAGTTACGTGTGCATTCGATATTGCTACTGTTAAGTGAAAGTTATGGTAATTTTACAACATTGTGTGTCATATATGTCAATTCACATAGGAACATAAGACAAGTTCCAGTTTGAAATTCAAATTAACCTTTGCCACAGTAGCCTTTTAAGATTAATCTATTTCTGGTAAGTTTGTAAAATTAAGGGAATTTTTCCTCCATTTTTGCACTGGACTGAAAAAACGGGTATTCCCCGAAATCTATGTCAATAGAGGGAAGCACCTGTATTTTCATTGTTACAAATAAAAAAGAAATTGATTCTGGCGAGATAAATAAGTTGGCACACTTGAAATGTCGGAAAAGAGTTAGTATCGCTGTACAGCTTTTTGAATTATCCATTTTTATCTGCCAAACGTAAAACAAGGAACCTCAAACATCAGCACTGGACAGTGATATGATTGTATCTTACTAATTGCAATGTACTATAACAGTATGCCAACGAGATGTTTCGTTTCCCTGTCATATTTTAAAAATGCAGGCAATTCACCGCTGTAAGGAGTATAGGGGTACCATAGAATCTATTATACGTACTCATACAAGTGTAACGTTTAAAATTTATGTTACATGCGGCAGAGAAAAATAATGTTAAGTATATCATGATTAAAGTAATCCCGTTCTGAAAAAATCCTCTTACTTACACCTACTTAGTATTCTATCAGGTCATGTCACTGCTCCACCAGGCTGTACGTAGAGGTGATACTGACAAGGTGAAGCGACTGCTGAGTGAGTGGAGATATGATATATACTGCCAGGATGACTCTTGGGTACGTAGCTGCAGCTGGAATAATACTTCATTCTCAAACATTACCAAACAGTGAAATAATATGATAATAATCTAGAAAATAAACCTAAGTATGATATAATATGGTTTTGATTTTTTCAGTGTGGATGGACTCCTCTGCTCGTAGCAGTGCTGAGAGATAATGTAGATATGGTGAAACTACTCCTGGACAGCGGGGCTGAAGTTAATGCTGGGAACAGGGTAAGACACATGTCTGTGACTTAAACTCTCATTTCCGTTCATGCATTATTTATGTCTATGTAAAGATATTGATATTAATATTTATATAGGCGTTTCAATTTCTTTAGTTTAGTGATGCGTATAATATAAAAAGTGTATTTTCCATGAAATCTGACATTGAATGTTCCATGGTTTTGCGTATGCATGTATTGTGTTAGCGAGTTGGGTAATACAAGTATGCATTTTTCCTTAGTGTGACTATATGCTGTATTCAAACCACGGATAGATATTTTTTAAAATCATTTCATTTGACCGTTCTGAAGCCAATTGGCAGTTAGAGCACATCTTCTATTTGGGACATAGGGTACCAGTATTTGTGGCAATACATGTAGAACAAGCAAAGGCCACATACTCTGCATTCTGATAAACAGATGATATTATTTGAATTAACATAATTTTCCAATCAGTTTTGTTTTATTTATGACATGTATCCAGTTCATTTCACCTCTCTGATACTATTTCTGTATCAGCGCTATAGATATCAAATAAACAAATAATTTGTGAGGAAATATAACATGATATCATAACGCTGATCATTTATTGTTACCAGTATGGCAGAACTCCTTTACATGAGGCAGCACAGGCAGGCCATAAAGACATGGTAGAGCTTCTCCTGGAGCGTGGAGCTGATCCTAATATCACCAATGAGGTTTGTGCCACGAACATGTACTGTTGTATAAATAAATTACCGTGGGATTTGATTTGATAAACATAAGGAGGGTATACATGTACTTCAACTATTTTGTCATAAATGATCGATGAATTTGTTTAATCATTTACTTTTTATATGGTTATAATAAGTGAACAAGATGTAAAGAAAAAAAAAACATATGACTGGTATTACATGTTAACAGGTGCAAAAAATTGTTTTACTATAAAGCATATATATAAGTTCATGAATGAAATGCAGTATCAAAACTTGCACATTATATATAAATATATATATATATATATATATATATATATATATATATATATATATATATATATATATAAAAATTATATATATATATATATATTTTTTTTTTTTTTTTTTTTTTTTTTGTCATTAGATTATTTGTCAACATTTGCTCTGTAAGCTTTTGACTGCTGATATACCGAGCACGTTTGGTTAGTTATTTCATCTCATAAATAAAGTAAATGAATAAAATGTGAGGAAAAACAGGCATGATATTCTGTCATCTTGCTGATTATTGTTACCAGGATGGCAGTACTCCTTTACATTTGGCAGCATGTAAAGGCCATGAAGACAACGTGAAGCTTCTCCTGGACCATGGAGCTGATCCTAATATCACGGATAAGGTTTGTGGCACCTAAATGAATTACCGTGGGCTTTGTTGGCTGGTTTGATAGGCATTAGGAGGGTATACATTACTTCCACTATTTTGTCATAAATAATCGATGAGTTTGTTTAATCATTTACTTTTTATTTGGTTATATTGAGTGAAATGAAAATAAAATGCAAAGAAATAAAGAATGGGACTGGTATTACAAGTAAACAGATAGGTGCAAATCAATTCCTTTAAATTTTCTTTCCTTAAATTAATAAAAGGATGAGTGCAGATAAGAGGGTAAAGGTGCCCACTTTTGTACATGAAAAATAAATTGTGAATGAATAAAAAAGGGTTACCAAGTTAAAGTTAGGGTCTTTCACTTGTATGATCCAAATATTTTTTTTCTAATTTGAAATGTAAAAAAAAATAATGTCAAAATGTCATTGTCACATATTCATGAAAATGTATGTTTTAGGAGGATTCTGAAGTACAATGCCACGTATGTATAGTTATAGTAAGGTGACAACTGTGAAATATTGTAATTGGGTACAGGAGGTGCCAGTATAAAAGAGAAAGGCAATAAGTGGCCAATCATTGTTTGTGATCAATATTTTAATTGCTTTATTCTTACATGTAGTGCTGATTGAAAGAAGAATCTCACAATGACTTGAGGATAAAAGATGTTCATTTTCTATATGAGCCCCTGCCTAAAAAAAGCTAATTATTCATGGTTGGGCTTGATATGTACTCAAACTTCATAGGGACATTTTCAGTCCATATGCTAGCAGTCGGCTATGTTTATTACTGCCATGAGATAGCTGCTACATGCTTACATAGGATAGCAAGACAGATACAGTAAATATTTTGTTTAAAAAATCCAAAAAACGTAGGTCTTTGAAAGGAAAACAGGGGTTAGAGTCAGTAAAATATTTCCAATTGCAACCCAAAACAGAAAAGTCATTTTCTTGCACTGCATGGTATCAAAAAAAAAAAAAAAAAAAAAAGAAGAAAATATGGATAAGAAATATAGTCCAAATACAGTAAGTACATGCATATCCTTTTCCTATTCTTCTTAGGATTAAGAAAGATAAATGTAAAATCGGTTCAGATATTCAAAGGTATATTAATTATCATAATAGCAGAAGTACTTTGTGGTGTCTCCTACTTTATAGAGACCCTTGCTGTAATAGACCTCTACAAATAAGGGTAGCTTGACACACCCCACCCCTAATGGGCATGAAGGTACATTTTGTACAACAAAAATGTTGTCTAAATACCCCCTTTACGTCTCTTTTGCATAAAAAACTAAAATAAAAGGCTCATTCACACACACCCTAGTTTTGTTACTTATGACTTAACCTTCCACACCAGCACTATTCAACACTGAGGGTTTATTATATATATATATATATATATATATATATATATATATATATATATATATATATATATATATATATATATATATATATATATGGCTTCAGCCGTCAAGGAGATCAATGAAAATCCATTATAATTAGTAACCAAGCATTTACCAGATAAAACAAGATAGCCAGTATACTGATGAGCATCTGCTAGATGGCCAGTTTGAAATCAGTGTATGCAAGGATGCACCTGATTTAATCAGAGCCAAATAAATACAGTCAAGGCACACATCTAGCCACTGGTACAGCTAATGGACGCAAGCCCCCCTGTAGCAAAACTAGACCCATCAGTGGCTGGTACTGTAAGTGTAAAGTAGGTGGCCAGACAATTGGAAGTGTGCACATATCACGTCAGACATGTGGTATATGGGGTTTTCCATGAGGCAGGGATACAATCCAAAATTATGTTGTGGAGGAGACTGTTTGGATGCCTCATATTTACAAACATCAAGTGGTGACAGTATTAGCGAGACAGAAAGTGTTATGGACAGCACTGATTAATAATCAACCTGTATTGTTTCTTATATCTTTTATTCTCATATTTGTATACTCTGTATAAAGTAACTATTGCAGTGCGTTCTATACAAGGTCTACGTATATCACATACATAATAATATGAAGAGCTTTTTAGGTGATTTAATTTCATTGTTTATTTTATGGTTAATGGAAACATTCCAAACAGCTATTTAGAGTGTTTTTACAAATGATTTTTCTTGTTACTGTAACAGCTTTTGGCTTTCAGTATATCTTACTAGTCTTTACAAAGCCTTGTACAAAATGTAATAATAATATTTTTCACGCAACATATATATGTATGAAACTTACAGGTATAATAGTAAATTATTTTTAAAATTTGACGATGGGCACTTAGCCAATGGGTTCGGGTTGGGGGGGGGGGGGGGTTAGAAAGAGCCGCCCCTTTTGCTGGGAAAAGGTCCACTGGTAAAAAATTGTTCTAGGTACATGAAGTTTCATGGGTAAATGTCCACTTTTTTTTGTGAAAAAATAGCCCCCTTTTAAAATTGCTGGCTACGGGCCTGTTATGCTGATCATTTATTGTTACCAGTATGGCTGGGCTCCTTTACATTGGGCAGCAGAGAAAGGCCATGAAGACATCACTAAGCTTTTCCTGGAGCGTGGAGCTGATTCTAATATCACCAGCGAGGTGAGTGACACATACTGTTAAATAAACAAAGTGCCCTGGAGTTAGTCGGTTGGTTTGATACATTTAAAATTCGTATAGTCCAAATGTTTCATTGAAATAAATGATATATTTTGATCTTATTATTATTTGGTAACAATAAGTAAATACAATGTAAATAACCTTCTTTAGATTGTTTGCTCACGTTTGCAAAGGAAGCATTTCAGTGCTGAATATAAACTTTTGTTATTTCACCTCAGTACGTGTTACTTTTACCAGGACATAAATATATGAACAAATTGTGAAGAAATACAACATGATATGATATCATCTTGATGATCATTTGTTGTAACCAGGATGACAGAATTCCTTTACAAGAGGCAGCGGGAAAAGGTTTTGGAGACATCGCGAAACTTCTCCTGGAGCGTGGAGCTGATCCTAATATCAGGGAAAAGGTTTGTGACATCTTATACTGTAGGCAGCTTACACTGGGGTCGGATGAATAGTTGGAGAGGTGATGCATTTAAGCAATGTTTAGAATAATTGATTAAATGTTATTTTTTATTTGATCACATTATCATTGTTCATGCATAAAAGGAAAATTAAGCCAAAAGTCATAACTGCATTGATATTTATAATTTACCAAAAATGTACATTATGTTCTAGCTCTTTCCTCATCATTCGGTTATTTGTTTACAGGTACGCTTGCCACTTGTATTTTTGATGTTTTCTTCTTAGTATTACTTCTACAGCACTTATGTAAAAATATGAACACGTCAAATCCTTCTGTCGAAACATGTTTGAAAAAGCAATGTTGTATTACAGTGACAAAACATAGTGTTAACTTTCTATTGTAGGATAAACTTACACCATATGCCTCGGTTGTAAAAAGGAACCAGAGATTTTCTTCGCCATCGATTCAGGTTAGTTTTGTCGAATGACGTAATGATTACTAATACAACATCAGGAAGACGCCTAAATGTTACTCCCATTCTCTGACTTAAAAATGAAATTTGATTTAAAAAAAATAGAAAATAAATAAATGAATAAATAAAAGTATATTTATATGTATAACTTCAACCTTCGGGTTGCAATATTCCAATAAAGATTATTATTATTATTATTATTATTATTATTATTATTATTATTATATTCCTTATATGTCGGATTATTTGGTTGCCACAATCAATTTTTCTGGTAATCATCAGCTTTCAACCTTCAGGAGTTCTGTGTCAATGTTGGTAATTTCAGACTCATCTTCTCCAAAAAGTAATTACTGCAGTGAGTGAACAAGTTTCTGTGAGAGATATCCGCTTTCTGGCTCGAAAGCAGCTTGGAATACCTAACTCCAAGCTGGAGAACATCAGATGTCAGAATCCAAATGATGCACGGGAGGAAGCATTTCAGATTCTGTGGGAGTGGATGAAAATAAAAGCAGGGGCGACAGTCCATAACTTGTTCAAGGCACTGAAAGACCAGCAGTTGAACGAGGGTCTGGGTTAGTAATATTTTATAACTCTGTCCTGTTGTTGATGCACTGGACAATTTTAACTGTTAACTATCTTGAGGGAAATGGCCCTTTCTCTTGGGACAATTATATAGGCCTTCTTATTAATTGACTAGTTCTTTATAATAATAATAATAATAATAATAATAATAATTATTATTATTATTATTATTATTATTATTATTATTATTCAGTACATTTAAGATTGAGACTTATATACATTTCCCAAACTCGTTTTGTTTTAATTACAGACAAAGTCAGGGATGAATATGCCGCGTTGTTGAATGAGATATGGGCCATGCCAGAGGACGAGTTCCAAAAGTTCCATTCCTCTCTCCAACCCACTAAGTCAAGCATAGATGACGTCACGTTGTCCAACATGACGGAGATGAACCTGAGATGCTACTTTTCGGATGACTTGGAATCTTTGTATGTTCCAGTGGAGAGCTCCAACGCCAATGCCAAGGGCAATGATAACGACAGCCACAAAGTCGTGCTTAAGTATCGCTTCGCCGGGAAGGGTGTTTACTGGAATGCGGCTACATCCGCTAAGAAGAATGAGTAAAGGGGTGTGCTAAATAGAACGTGTGCTTTAAGTTGTTATTTGGTAGAACGGTGAGCAAGTTATCAGGTCATATAACTTCCTCATTGAGCACACTGAAAATGCGAATATGCTTTAACTATGTCACATCACAAAAAAATGGCAATTTTAATGGCATAAAATTATACAAGCTTAAAAAAAAGAAAAAAAAATCTTTATTATTACCAGCTTAAGTTAAACTTTACTAAAAATCTTTATTTGATTTCTCTCAATAATTAAAATATAGGTTGGTGTGTTCAGAAGTCACCTACGACCTGATACTCTGGGTTACTGCTGTTCTTGAAGGAAACCACCGGGATATTATTATTTCTGTTTAGGTGATTGTTGATTTGTTGAAAAACTGGTTTGACTTTCATTCATTTAACATGTATGGATAGCTTAACATTACTTTTAATAGCTGCCTTAAAAAGTAAAAAAAAAAAAAATACTTTGAAATATTGTATATTTGTTGCATTTATTCTAATAATGATTGCTTTTTAATAACCGATGCCATTGCTTTATTTGATGTGATGTTAAAAGGGTAATAACTCTTCGTATGAGATCTATATTTCACAATAAAAACATTGTGAATAACTCATAGAAATATAATATGTTCTGTTTTACCACAAAAACGGCAGTTATAGCTATTAATCTGATATCTGAGCTTGTGACCATGTGACCTTCATTGATGACTATATACTCTGCTAAAATCTCTTAAGAGCTTTAAACAAAAAAAACTTTTTAGAAAAAAAAAAAACAGGGACTAACTTTGAATGTAAAAATGGATTCATTAACCATTGGTAAGTATGGGGAAATTGTTGTTTACTCCAGGAAAATTCATTTTTTGGCCAAAACGAAGAGTTATTATCCCTTTAAGTTTGATCACGCTTATTTTAAAATCGTTACATGTCCAATGTTTTTTTTTTCACCAAGAATATATCAGTAGGATTTGTGTACAGCATTAAACGTTTTCAACATATTTTAATTGTTCTGATTACACTAATATTGTGAAACACACCTGTACTCAAGATACAAATCCGTTAATTATTTAGTGTGCCCTGATATCATTTTGTGGGTGGTGGTGGTTGCAATTAATCTTTACATAGACTGTGTTTTGTTTTTTATCTGATATATTCTGCTTGGTTTTATGAATTTGCACACGTGGATTTGTGTAAACGCAAGAATTCGGGTACGTGGACAATTTAGAGGCGTTTTGTTTTGCACTAGTACATATAATGAAATTTTATATTAAGGCAAGACTGGTATATCTGTATGGTACTTCTGTTACGTGGTTGATAAGAACTTACCAGAAGGAACCAGCCTGTATAGTAGAAAATCACGTCAGTGGGAGAGTTCCAAAATACTAACACTAGTGGGCTGGATTTGGTCTTAAAGTGCAATTTAAGTTCACAAGTGATCTTACACGATCTTAATCATTACAGCAGCAGTCTTAAAATGGACTGAATCTGCTTTTAAGATCAAAAATGATCTAACATCTACTTATGTGGTCAAGCAGTTTCCTCCCCTAACGGCAGGGGATGCCTCCCCTCACAATAGAGAACACCTCTGCTCACAATAGGAGAATGTGTAGGGGGAGACAACTTAATTGGCTGTCAGACAAGAAATGGCCTTACTCATGGTTTAAGATCATGTAAGACTATTTGTGAACTTAAATTGCACTTTAAGACCAAATCAAGCCCACTAGTGTAAACATCAGGACAGTAACCCAATAATATCATCTAAATAAGGAGAAATATTGAATTTTAATTTTAAAGTCGTTCTTCACAGCAAACTATATATTTCAGGCACATATGTCCTTGACATTTTGGTGAAAATACAATTTAGTAGAATTAGTACAATTTAGTAGAAGAAAGGAAGAGTTCTAAAGTGTAATACAACAGGATATGAAAGTATGGTCTCTTTACCACACTTGCTTGATATGTGCTCTTTACGAGTTGAACTGTCGCTTTGTGCAAGAAATTGAATTTTGTGATTCTACTTTTCATAGTCTGTTTTTCATTTAACGAATTAAGTGCACAACTATTTTTATCCACATTCGATATTCATCAAGAGAAAAGGTTAAGAAAAACAGACGTATTTATCATTTTATGTTTCAGGATCTTCCTGAAACAATTCTGTTGAAAATGTCAGAATCAACGTTCTTGCATTTAAAAAATGAAGAAATAATCTTAAAATGAAATTCATCTCCCCACCTACTCTAATGATACAGACCTATGACATATACAAGGTCCAGGATTTGTCATTGGCTTCGTATTTTGGAGGAATCATTCACCTAAATTTACCAGTGTTAACTGAATTTCATATATATACATGATATTTATGGATTCCTGTCAACTTAGACATGTGGTATTTTCTTAACAGTATTTATTTAAACCAGTTCCTATTTGGAAATGGAGCCACAATCAATTCTTGGCACTGTTGGCTAGCACTCTTGTATTATACATATATGATATTTAATGGATTCCTGTCATCTAAGACATGCAATATTTTCTTCACAGTATTTTATTAAACCAGTTCCTATTAGGAAATGGAGCCACAGTGCAGTTCTGTTGGCTGATACTCTTGTATTAACTGTGTAGAAAAGAAAATGCTTGTTCTTAAAGTGTCTTTCAAACTCTTTGCAGAATACATCCCTAACGCTGAGTGTTTGGTTATTGTTTTCTTTGATCAGAGAACTAAAACCCAGTTTTATAAATTGAAAAATTTCCTCATACGTAGGGAAAGAGAATTTACTTCAGGGAAATGTGTTATAAATTATATTTAAAAAGATCTTCATTATTGTTGGTATTGTTTTGTTTTATAAATAATGACAAAAAAGATCAAATGCATCAGTGGCAGTTCTACCCATTGCTTATTCCACTGACTAAATATATTGTATCTTCCATAAAAGGAAACCTCATGTTCATGATATGATCTAGTTCTGGTAAAGTTAGAAGTTCTAGCAAAGAATCTGGGAGCTTCAAACTTTTTACATGGCTTCCAGTAACTTTGCCCTCCCCTAGAGTACTGCGTATTGCTTGAACACAGCAGTGTAACAGAGAAGGAAAACAGGCTAAATTGTCTTGATAAAACTGGGTGATTTTTTAGTCTAAGTCCACAGGAAGTTCAAGATGATTGGCAGAGATACTGTTAACAAGGTTGTACTTCGAGTCCCACGGAGTGCAGCATTCTCAGAGTGTCCTTAATGTCCCCTTCTGTCACAGCCAGTAACAACATGATCTGTACCAGGGAATGGAGGTCAGCCTGGTACCTATAACACGAGATGATCTGTACCAGAGAATGTAGGTCAGCCTAGTACCTATAACACGAGATGATCTGTACCAGGGAATGTAGGTCAGCCTGGTACTTTATAACACGAGATGATCTGTACCAGGGAATGTAGGTCAACCTGGTACCTTATAACACGAGATGATCTGTACCAGGGAATGTAGGTCAGCCTTTGGTACCTTATAACACGAGATGATCTGTACCAGGAAATGTAGGTCAGCCTGGTACCTTATAACACGAGATGATCTGTACCAGGGAATGTAGGTCAGCCTGGTACCTTATAACACGAGATGATCTGTACCAGGGAATGTAGGTCAGCCTGGTACCTTATAACACGAGATGCGGCGTAAAATTTTCTACAAATTTTTCCACCTCCATCTCTTCAAACTAATCCCTTACTACATTTATAGCTCCAAGCTGTCATAATATCTTAATCAGCTCCATAACATATCTGTTTATGATATATCGTGATTTTCCCAACAGTTTACATCAGTCAATCTTGTAAGGTATTTCCATTCCAGCATCTATCAGTATTTTAAACAGAGTTGTTAGACTGGAGGAACTGGACTTGAGAAGTAGTTTCTCATCTAACACAATCTAAATAAACATAAGAACAGCTTGGAAATAAAATAAAAATAATTACTCTATATGTAATATCTGCGGTGTCGGCAACATACACAATAGCATGCTGTGTAATAGCAATAGCAGTCAAATGTTTATTATACATACAAAGGGAAATCGTATGTACATTTTATAGACTTTTTTTATACTCAGCAGCCGATATGTATGCACTCGATTATTGATGCTGCTAATAAGTGAAACATTCAAAGAAGTTCACTTCACTGGGCCTTGAACCCTACGCCAAGGGAGGGCGTTGCATCCGGGAACCTCCTACCCCCCTCTTCATATAAACTAGGATCCTCCCCTGAACAATGCCCGCACAGAATGTAGGCAATGTCATCTACGACCTAGAGGCCCACAGTTTGAAATTTAATGTCAAAACTTTTCGTGTGGCAAAATCTTGGAAGTTACCGTGAATCCGTAGTATTTCGTATACAACCCCCGCGGGACATACGGGCATTGTACATACATTGTACACCCTGTGGATATCACAGGACTCATGTACTTGGTAATTTAAGCTTTAGAAACGGTTGGGGTCAGGGACACTACTATTTTACTCAATATAGTTTCTATTTTCAGACAGAGCGTCATGATAACAAAACAGTTGTTAGAAGGGAGTTTTTGTGAGGATGTATACGGTTATCGATTTTGAAAAGGCTTATACATATGATTATATGCCCCACGTAAATCCTACAGACCGTCTACGTGATATGTATTGTGCATGGTAAACACCGGAATGCATTTAGTTACAACAACCTGTAGGACTATTGGTTTAAGATACTCATTCCAATTAAAATGTGTATGACACCACTGGCTTTGGGTGTAAATAAGACAAGTGGTTATAAAACGTGAAACGATGACTCAAGGGGTTTAAAACGAATGTTAATAGAAAGAAGTTGACTGTGTGATATCAGTTCTCACGGTATGGACGTCCTTGATTTACTTATGTACGGTGCCGTGATTGTTCACCTACAAAATAGAGAAAAATCGGTTTGTCACCGAGCCCCTTTCGTCTCCGTGCGGCTTCCAAGATTAGATCGATATATTTTAGGTGCAAGGTCTTCCTTAAGTTTCAA